ATATTCAAATACAATAAAATTCTTGCACATTTGCTACTGTTTTTCATGTTTGTCTCAGCTAATAACATTCCTAATGAAGTTAGATCCAAGAGACAGGGAGTTTAGAGTTCAAGGTGGCTTGACGTGTGTCTGAATGAGAGGGAGATGTTTTCACAGTCTTTTCTGATCTCTTGGTCTCTTTTGCTTGAAGTTTATCCATGAAGAAATTAACACTTCTGCAGAATTTGAGCTTAGATCTCTGGCAATGGATACATAACTGGTATTTTCCTATTGCTGCCTGAAGTGTTTCTTTTCTGATTGCAGTATAGGTACCTTTCATCTTTGTCCTGTTCTTACTTGTAAGTGTAGTTCCCAGAATCTCAGTTCTTCATCTCCATTTTCCAAAATGTTAGTTGCTTTCAACCGAAATGATTGAGCACCTTTTGAAATCTTGTCCTTTCTGGGCTTTTGTATTTTTAGCCTCTTGTAGTTGTCCTTTTACCTCTTTATCCTTTTTCTTCTAGCATGTCACTTGGAGTATTTTTCTCCCTCCTCTCTAGCATTTTTTGAGAAGTCCTGATAGCTTGATCCTCGATTCTTTCCTTTCACTGGATAATCTTTCTTCAGTTTCTGTTTTTATACAGACAGTGGCAAGATTTTCCACTGTTCCTAAGATTTACCCTCTTTGTCCAGAGTAAAGTCTCAGCCTTTCCTGATGATATTTTGCAGGCTCATCTCTGGGTTAAAAAGTTCAAAAGACTCCGTTTCTTCTCAATCTTCCGTCATCCATCCATCTTTAGCTGCTATGAACAAAGCCATTGTTCTTGTTGTTTGGGCCTACCTGCACCTTTGTTACAAAGTTTTTCACAAATCCTCATTATGTTGGACATATGTGAGCCTTCCAGTTCTTTTTTTTCTGTACAATTAATCATAAACACTGCCAGGAAAAAAACCTGTTGTCTAAAGAGCTTCTTTGCCATGACACTTGTTAATTGCATAGTACAACAAGTACATAGTACAATTGCATAACCTGCAGACAGGTTATGTTTTGACCATGTTTCTGCTGCTTTCTTTGTGGTCTCCTGTCTTCTGCTTAAGAATTGAAGCGCTTTTTCTGTAACTCTGGCTTTGCTGTATATTTGTGCAGCACTTAACACAGTGATATCCTGGACCATGAATAGGAGTTCTTGTTATTAAGGTTATAAAAATAATAGATAAAAGTAAGTAAATGTAATTCACAGAAGACTAGAGTTGGGATGTGATACAAGGAACCTCTGGTGTAGTCCACATATATGGTCTACAGAGGCAAAAAAACAAAAATTGATTCAATTCATAAATAAAGGGGGTGTCCCTGTAACATTTTCCTTACAGATCAGTGGTGTACCCATTAAAACTATGAGTAACTTCACAGACAGTAGATGAATAATGGATAAATGATATATAAATGGAGGACACAACTGATGTTAGCACTTGCAGTGGTGATACTGACTTGATCAGTAGTGAGCGATTTGAACACTCTTACCACGTTACATGCTTTTAGCACAAAGGAAAAATGGACCATGTACCATCTCTTAGTATAAAATAAGAGATAAGATCAAGTAATGAGATTTCGAATAAGATCCAAATTTTAAATATCCCAAGAGTCAGTGAGCTTACAGTTCTATTATTTTATGCTGAATACACCTCTGGATATATGTTTCACAATCCAGATTGCACCCTGACGACAATTCTGAAGGTGACAGTAGTGGCTGGAGACAGATTTGCAGTAAGAACAGGTTTCTGATGTGGTAGTTAAATTCTTTGCAGATCTGTTAAGTACCTTCCAGCCAGTCTAATTTTGTTAATGGCAAACATTGACCAAAGGTCTCATGTCCCTCTGTCAGAATTATGGCTGCTTCTGTGTTGCCAATAAATAAACTATAACACTCCTTTAGATTTCTTTGCCCAGGGCCAGATAAAATATTTCAGACACCTAATGTATTTGTCTTGGGTAAATCAGAAGAAGTAAACAAAACTGGCAGATCAACTTCATAAACTCTGTGGTTAAGTGTTAGATGAATACTGCAAAAACTGAATGAGTTACATGTCATGTTAAACAATTTCTCTAAGGTAAACTTTGTTGGTTTAGGATGTTTCTCAAGTTCTTCCAGGAGTTTGGGTAGCAGCTTGCTTTCTTGTGAATTTTTGGAACAAAACAATTATTTGAAAAGTACCACCAACATTTAGGGAGAGTGTGTGTGCATGTGAGCTGACAGAATTTAAAATGCAGGTGAAAATTTTCATCTTGCTCTTTGGCATTTCTACCCTCATTTGCGTTGCAGGGACCACCTCTGGGTGAAAAAGTTATGAGGCTGCCAATACCGAGACTGTACATACTCCTCTTACCTTGTAGGAAATAGCCTTTGTATATCAGGTATATAACCTGTAGCAACTTATGAAAAAGACTAGTCAGATTGAAATTGTTTCTGGTCACAGAAATTCTACAGTGGAGGTAATTCATATTTTACAACAGGAAGATCTACCTTGGTATACCAGCACCATGAGGAAGAGCAATCAGTGGTTTTCAGGGTGGATTGGAGCTAAAAGCTACTTTCAGCTCTGCCTCAAGTCAAAAGCCAAAGCTGCTGTCTTAAACATGGGGCTGACAGTGATACATACAGAAGAGAAATGGTACTGTGTCTTCATTTCCACTGATGATAGTTCCAAATTCCTGAACAGTTGACTTCTGCTAAAATGGTCATTAGTGATATATCCTTTATGTAGTGAAGCACCAAAGTTAGTATCTGTAACTGAAGTAAGAATTTGCCTGTCACCCTGTTAATGCTCTTATTCAGTCTCTCAAGCTCATTGAGGAAGAACTTAACATAGAATGGAATATAGACATATATAGAAAGCTTTCTTTATAGCCAAAGGATATTTTAATTTTTTCTTTTTTTAAGTTAAACAAGCCCTCTTATATATGTCACCTGTTTTAAGTGAGGCTCTGAATGTTATTTCTAACTGAGGATTTTGGGGTTATTGCAGCTCACAAGATTCTATTTTTGTTTTAGAATTACATATAAAAAGCTCAGAGAAACTATAGCTTCAGCAGTTATCCACATCATTCAATGTATATGTTAAAAGCACAACTAAATAAAAAGTTTCTACTACATCCCAGAAGCTAATATCCAAACCATCTCACTTGCTCTTCAAATCAATTATTATATGTCCTCTTCTAACAACACAGTGTACACTACTGAATAGTCAACAACTATCAAGCAGATCTCCTGTAACCCAAACCGTGTAGGAAGCAGACTCTCTAGCTGGCTGTGCTGCCCATGTTCTGCCCCAGCATCCCTGAGAGCTTATATATATATATATATGTGTGTGTGTGTCTGTGTGTTGTCAGGGGGCTGCTGTAGAGCATACTGCAAATAAAGATAATACCCCACCCTGTTCTATCCGAGTTTTCCTGACTCACGCAGGTGTCTTCCACATACTCCTGTAAAGACTTTGATGTTTATGGCTAGGATGTTTCTCTTAAATTTATGCTAGGTCAGACAGAGGTCAAAGTGCCCTGTCTGAAAACCTGCTTAACACACCGCTGGCAGTTTAATAAAAGACTCTTGTCATATGATGGTTTGCTCTTGCAGTGTTATGTGACAGGCCAGGTAAGACTGAAATGCATACTTCTTTTGGCACTTATCTTCTGTACACAATAGTTCTGAGTAAATGTGTTGTTCTTCCCTATTCCAGGGGCTATTTATATGTTTTGCTTACTGGCAGTCAGGATATTATTAATGACAGTTGTGAACGTGACTACAGGCAGAACCACTGCTTCAGTGCCTCATAAAACTGAGTAACTGGTATGAGATTGCTTTAGACTTCTGACACCATCAGTTCTACAAATAATGTTTTCTGACTTTACAATGAATGAATGAGTGTTCTCATATCTGGTTTAAATATCTAGTGAGATTTCATCTGAAGATTATTGGGTAGTACTAGGAACACACATAGAACTATCACTAAATCTGTATCACGATGGTTGAAGGGAATTATGCCTCAAATTGCAAGTGGAGAGAAGGCCAGTGCTTACAGTGTGTACTAGCATCTTCTGAAAGGTTATTGCCAAAACTATGTAAGATCTTGTAACGAAGGAATTAATGGGGGCAACTGCCACTCAAAATGTCTGATTTCCACTGACTACCTATAGCAGACTAGTTTAAATGAGAACGTTGTTGTGTTTGTTGGGGAAGGGGGCAGATGGCCTAATTCTTCATTTGACTGCTATGGGTCCTAAAAGAGGAATGAAGATAACTGTGTGAAAGCTCTCATCACCCAGCTGGTTGCAAAGTACTGGGCATAGGACCGCCAAACTCCGTGTCTGTGCATACAGCACTTCATAAGAGGCTGTTGGATACTGTGAACTTTTTGTCCTTTCTGGGAGGGTTCAGGTATTGGTCATCGCTAGAAGCAAGATCACAGATTAGATGGTCAGTGGCCTGGATTACCCTGTTTCTGTGGTGATGAAAGGTCATGAAGAAATATTAGTCTGTCAAGAAAACCAAAAGTTGTCACTGTTTTACAGGTCAAATTTTGATATGCATCTGTTTTTGTTTGACTTCCTGAGCATCCACGCTGTCTTCAATAGGCATCAGGTTTTAATTTCTCATGGGTTTTGCTTCTTTTTAAAAACCCAGAACAAGCGTATTTCAAATTTAGATCCCCTTTCCCACTTTGTTTGCTAGGGACTGAATAGAACATTACTACATACCAGCAGAGGAATTCACATTAAACAACATTCATTTTCAGACTCTTCACACAGACTTATTTGGGCTGAAAAGGACTGCTTGAGATCATCTAGTCCAGCCCCAGACTTACTGCATCATCCAAATGTTAAGCTATAAATAGACTAATGTGGGCCAAGTCTATTAGCAGTCAGTGTTGTATGCTTTTTCTTTACCCAGTCATTGCACCAGGCTTTTCAACAGACACACAGTAAAAGAAGCTATAATTGCAATAATCACAAGAGGTTTTAGAAATTCTGTTTTGAGGTGATCACATCCACTTGAGCAGTCTTTTATTTGACGTACTTTCCCAAATTTACTTTGATTTAACAAAAACAAGACAGACAGTGTTATCAGTTACAAGCGACTAGTACAAAGCATTTTGTACAGCAAATTTGATGTTCATAAGGCCAGTTTTTCCTGCTAAATTGTACCAGCATATCAGAGTTTACATGTGAAGAACCCCTTATGTTTCAGTCCTGGGTTCCTTGCTCTGCTGGTGAAGCCTCAGTCTATTTCTGCTTTGTTAAATACATTCCTCTTACAATACTGGTCCAAAACATGCTTTAGGACATCAGTGGAATAACTTGGATACAAGTTTGATATTAATACTGAAGTTTCCAACACCTCTTTATCTGTGCTGACTCCTTGCTTGTGGATTTGAAATTCTCAATAGCGGTCTTGGGAAACTTTGATCTGCCCAGTTGACTATGCGCATCATGGATGCTTTTTCTGCAGCATGGTGATGTATTAGAAACATCCCTTTTGGCTTCTGTTCAGTGTTAGGTTACAGTCTTTGGTCATCAGGTTCAGTAGAGATCTTACTGATTTCTGGAATTGAAACCTTTCACTGGAGAGGATTTTTCAGTCTGCCGTTTGCTGTAAATCTCTCTGTAGTAGTGTTTGTCATCCACATCACTGGTGGGCTACCCAACAGCTGACACGAAGGAGGACCTGGTAATACAAATGGCAGGGGAAGTAAGTGGCTGCTCCTTTTGGCCATGGTGTGGTCTGGTCAGCTTAGGCCAATTTAAAAGCTGTATTTGAACAAAAACACTTGCAGTCAAACTAAAAGCTGCTTCTGTGGAAGTAAAGCCAAAAGTACATGGGTGTGACTTAAGCACTAGAGTGCTGTCTCCCACTGCCTGACTAGATAATTTGTTGCTGCTGAAAGGTAAACGTTTTTGGTTTGAGCTATAGACTTCTTCCTCCAGTATGTTTTGGTAGGTAGACAGCTTTTATACAGTGTGCAGTGCTTCCACCCTTACATTTAGGTGAACTGGAACGATCTGCTGGAGATTTCCTGCTTTATTGCAGGCAGTGACAAAGATTGCAAACATGATTCCTGGTCAGTTGGGAAAGAATAAGAGGGTATTTGGTGGGAGTAAATTCACCAGCTGGACTGGCGACTCCAGCTGCAACTTTGTTAGTAGTCAGTATAGGCAATATAATTGCAATGAAGCATGTAAAGGAAAGAAGTCTGCCTTATAGTCAGGCAGCTTTTAAGATAGTGTTACAGTTAATGTTCAGAGATTAACCACAGACTTTGTGTGCTGGCATTTGATCACTTCCTGTGATAGTTTGTTTTAATGTGTATTAAACAATACCAAAAGCAGTGGTTTCTACCACAAGAACACTGTGAACTCTCAGACTTTCTTACAGGCCACACAAAAGAGAAACAAATTTGGCATTTTCTCTTAATGCTGGTTACTGGCACAGTTTGCCAAACACTTCCAATTTCCAGATCATGGTTCAGGAATCAGCGCTACAGAAAGTAGAAAAATGTTAGAAAGATAGTGAGCCTAAGTCTGTAATATGGAAATAAGAGAATAGATACAGTCCTCAGGACATTTGACCTAGAGGGGGATTCTGTGTTGTTGAAGATCATAGGTGTTACTAGGTGGCCAGATGCATCAGCCCCTGGCTGCTCTGCTGACCTGGGTGCTGCCTGTCTTGCAAATTTGACAGCTGTGAGACTGGACTATATAGTTAGCCACCTCCCTATATGCAAGTGAGCTGATCTGTTTCTCCAAGGCCAAGGAGGGCTCTGAAACACCCATTGCATTTGTTCTTTTTTGGAGTGAAGTTGAGTCCTTCAGCAGAAACGCAGTGGAAGTGTCAAAGGTGGTCGTCACTTGCACTGCCATTGGTGTATGCTCCTGGGGGCTTTTTTCCTTCAGGTTGTGATTTCAGAATCTGATACAAGAAGCTTTTTCTTCCCTCCTGTCCTGCTTGCTTCTCTCTCAGACTCCTCTAGAAAATGGCTGGCACTTTGCAGGATGGGTTGGCTTTGTACCTCAAACTTCCTATTCCTAGTTACATGCTCTCAGAAAGGTGGATGAGAAGGAGAAAGGGTGAGCAGAATTACACGTATGTTCATACCTACCCTTTTGTAGAGCTGGCCTCGGGCTAAGACAAAGGGCTTGGGAGGTTTAAGACCTCATGGATGCCTCCTGGATTCTTTTCCCACTGTGTCATTTCCTTTCAGCAGAGTCTGGTCTTTCAAGCTCACCTGGGTGTGTTCACAGGTAGCTAGACCTGCATTGTGAAAGAGAAATTAGACACTTAACCTTGGCAATAATTAACTCCCACAGCCTTGTTTGCTACCTCTTTGTCATGTGTTTATTGTCCTTTGTTTGCTCACTTCTAAGGAAATTCTTTTTGGCTTTTTATCAGGTTTTTATAAATCCGAGCAAGTGAGGAAATAAATTGTTAGGCTCTGGTGCAGAGGAAGGGTTTCTTTCTTTCCTTCTTTCTTTCTTTCCTTGGCAATCCACCTGTGTAAACATGTATCCTGGATGGGTGGAGCTCAGCAGCCATGATAGTGGTGTGGAAACATAATAAACAGGTTTCTTGTACTGCTTCTTGCTAAGACCCTGCTTGAGAAACCCTTAATCGTGTCTTCCAGTCCAATAACCTTCTTGTCCTCAGCGGGGTGAGGACTGAGTGAATTGCTCTGCTCTTTGTGTAACGTGTGCTGAGCCCCAAAAGAAGGTAACTAGAATCCCCCCTTGCCAATACGGGCATGTCAGGGCAAATAACCACAAGAACTACGAGCCTGGCTATTTAACTGTTGTGCTCCCTGACACAAAATGGTGAAAGACATCATCTTGAACACATGAATGCTCCCAATTATTTTAATCCTTATTGAAAAGGGTGTCTTTTCCAAGGCAACTTTTGAATTCGGGCCTCTTGCTTTGTATGGCTTTTCTGTGTACACACAGTACTTTTCAAAATATTAGTGCCTGCTTAGCAAAGCATTGCTTGCCAGTTAATAAAAAGAAGCAATTCACAGATGTTGAGAGATACTTAGATAACCGTATGGGAGTGAGGCTTGATCTTTGTGATTTAAAAAAAAAAAATTAAAGAGGAATGTCATATATGTCTGGCTTTTTTGTGTACACAGGTATACTTTTTTTGTCTGTTTTGCTTTGGGGACTGTATCAGAAGCCAGACTTGGGTCTGTGTTGAAGCATTCCAAATTGACTTTCGTATGCAGTCAAGTTCTCCTTACTGCTGCGTGTGCAGCAGGGAATTGCTTCTCTGTAGTTTCCCATAAAAACATTTCAAGAGAGCTCAGATGTACTTAGGCTATGGTTTCAGGGAGCAAAGTGTGCTGATGTACTCGTCCTTTCACCCAGCACTTTGCTCCTGTGACATATCTAGCTCTGGTTTCTGTGTTCACTGTACCCAGGAGAAAAAAAAAAAAAAATCCATGGACATTTTTCTCATCTCCCTTTGATCTGGCTTCAGTGCTTATCTGGTCTTCTGCTGAGCCATTATATGTAATAACACAGAAGAAAGTACATGCAAGAAATCAAGTAGTTAACTTTCTGTAGGGTTAGCATGCTGAAATGGCTTAGTGCAGCGTTCAGTGAATACAGAGAAGTTAATATGAGCAAGTGGAAACACTTAAGTAGGAGTCAAGGGAGGAAGATGTCCAGCATTTAGAGTGCCCTGAAAGCTGAAGTTGGTTCTTGGTGTGCCTGTTGATGCTGCTATCAAAGACACTCTTTTGAGATTTCGTTTTCCTGTAAGAACTTAGTGGACTTACTGAAATTGCAGTCTAGCAGTCCTATCCTGTTTTGAAATGCATATTACTCCAGATGGTATCTTATTGATGTCTTGCACAATACTATTTTAATTTCATTACTGTTGACGTTTTTCAGACACTGTCAGAAACTTTGGATGACTTGTAGCAGTAAGCTTCAAGATGAATAAATCTACCTAATTTATTCTACTGAAGAATTGATGATATCAATGTGATTTTAGTTCATATAATTATCTTTTTTTGTCTCTGTAATGGTCTTAGTATTACTTCATACTTATGTCTCCTTTCACATTAGTGTATACTGTTTGTTTAGGTTTATGTTATATTCCTCAACAAATGGGTTATTTTGCTTCTGAAATTCCTGAAATGAATCCTGAATGAAATTGATGACTCACATTCTTGGTGTTGATTTGAGATGGTAGAAGGTGATCTGGCTGGAACATATGTCAGTACAGCACATATAGTAGGATTCCTACAATAATGATCAGTAGACTAATTGAATCATCCCATGTTTTCTGTGATGTTTTCTCCTTATTGACATTACCATGGGAGAAGTGATTTTGGAGCTTTAAAGTGCTTTTCTTGTTATAGAAGTCAGATTAATTTTTTTCGAATCTTTTTTTTTCTTTTATTCTCATCCTGTATCTGTAAAGAGGCAATGTTGTTCTTAACAAGAATATAAATGTGAGCTAAGTGAAGAAGGGCTTGCCAGAAAGTCGTTTCAGTTTTGTACTACCTATACCAGTTGGGCTAATAAAACCAGAATTGCTGTTTTCTACAAACATTACTTGTTTAAAGTATTGGTGAAAGGTGGACATTTTCTTTTATTCATGCATTTGACTTAACATATTGAGAGATGAAGATAGCTTTTGGTTGAGCATTAAAAATAAATCAAAAATGCAAACTGCCTCAAAATGCAACCTGAATTTAGAAGTTAATCTATGGACTTTAATGTTATCTATTTAATCTTCTTCCTAAACTGCAGTTATGAGATGTATCTACAGGTAGTTCTGGTATTTGTTGTGGAGTGAATTCCCTTGCTGTGTTTCACAGCCCCTTCAGTGCCAGCCTAAGGGTTTATGGTGTCATGCAGTGAAATAGCTTACTGAAATAATCCAGGCTAAAAATAACCTTCTGAAAAAATGTGGCATGAGATGATAACGAGTAGCTGAAGGTAAGCAAGGTTGGCAATTTTTCAAGCCTGCTTTGCTGCTGAAGCAGAAGTACCACATAAATCATTCCCATCCGTGAGCAGTGCCGAAGTGGCTGTGGCAGTCTTTCTGGTGCCCTCAGCCAGTGCTTACTGGTGCCCTCTGAAAGGTCGCTTCTGTGATGCACTTCTCCCCTTGTGTGTTCAGTTAGATTGGTACAACTGTTTTGGAAGCCACCTGTGAACTGGGTCAAGGAACATAAATTAATTTTAGAAACCTGTATTAAAAAAGGAAAAAAACCTGTGGGGTTAGTTTAAATTTTGACCAGTTCCCTAGCTTGACATGCAGCGCTGCAGAAATAGTACTGATGTGAGCAGCTCAGATTGTCAGTGCTGCACAGGGAAGCATCTGTGGAAGCATTGCCTGAGCTGCTGGGGGTGTCTGGTAAATGAGAAGGTCCTAAATTGCTGGAAGCATAAGTTAAAACTTTCAAGTATTAAAAGCATGCATGTTACAAATGGCATAACTGACTGTATTTCTGCCATTTACTATATATAATATATAAAAGAAGAGCCAAAATGCTGTGCACCCAGTTTTACTTAAGAGTTAGGAGTCTAGCATAAGGTCTCTGTTTAAGAATGTTTAAGCATGATGATGTGGACACACAGAGTAACTGCAACAGATCCAATAAATGGCCTCCTAATTGTTAATGTGCAGATCAGGCTCTACTGTTTTAAATCCCCATTCAGTATGGACATTCACTGGACACAGGAAGAATGAGCAGTGAACTTTACAGATCAGAAACAAAAAGACAGCCAACGTGTGGTAAAGAAATTCAAGTATTTCAATTGTTAGGGTAGAAGAACAGATTTTCACTTAAACCCCTTCTTTCACATCTGAAAAATAATTAGTTCTATTTGGTTTTTCTAGTAAAAAAATCGTGTTTCCTGAAGTGCCATAATTATTATGTATCCATATTCCACACTCAGCAAAAGTAACATTTCCCATGAGAATGGGCATTAATTGTCTTATATTCATGACTTGGTGTGCATTGCCCACTGCATTTTCTTGGAGTTTCATGTGTTTGTAGCATTCTTAATTTCTGCCCCAAACTGTGCTGTGGTGTTCGTGATTGTAAATACGCAGTGCATCGGCTTCAGCTTTGTTTCATGACTGTTTCTATGGATTTATGTTTGTTTAAAATAATAAAGACTGACTCAATATATTACGCTGAAAGTTATTAATGGTTTGTCTGTAGGCTATTACATCATGAAGAAACCAGACCATTCTTTGAGAGCATATACTTTTTTCTCTCAGGATGACTGACATATAAAATACAGCTGTTCAGTAGTCCACATAATATTTGCTAGCAGTACCAGGTAAAAATAAACAGTACAGGAGAAATGCAATACTGAGAAAAGCTTCAATTTTCTTTTTAATAGAGAAAGAGCTATTTGTATGTCTGAATACTGATTTTAGTAAAAATTAATAATATTAGAATGGGATAAAGCTGTGCATCAGAATTTTGTGAACTGCTCATAACCTGTCAGTATTGCTGTTTTCTAGTATTTTCCATGTAATAATTATTAATATTTTGTGTGCATCTGGTTCTTGAGTCAGTGTCTGCCACTGAATACCTATACTTAATTTATATATTTGAATGTGCAGTGCCCAGTCGATGCACATAGGATGCATAAAAAGGAAACGTCAATTTGAGATTAATTGGAAATTGTATTGCTTTTTGCATTGCTTTCCACTCCCACATCAGCTTCTTCTGCACTTAGGTTAGATAAACACATGGTGGGACGGTGAATGTAGGAGCTGCTTTTGCAGTTGTTATCTTGCATGCCTCTTTTTGAGTAAATATAGAAACCAAAATTGCTTTTGTCCAGACTAATTTTTAGAGACATCTGTGAATAAGTAAATGGCAAATGATCTCCTTTGATTGAACTAGTAAATAAAAATACCTTTAGCCACCAGAAGCTGAGCTTTTTTGTGAGGATTGCCTTTATTACTATTCCAGGTCCAGTTGAATCAGCTGTGTTGTGCATTTGTTCTAAGTAATTGTCTCTTGTAGAGCAAGGTCTATTATTATAAATCATTATTCTCTACTACACTAAATGAATTGCTTTCTGCTTGCCAGAGGCACTGCTTCAAAACCAAACCAACCCACAGGGAGGTAAAATATTTTTGTCCTAAGTCGTCATGTCTGGCCGAGGAGTGACCTCAACCTTCTCCTGCTCTGAATCATTGTTGAGAACCGACATGCTCTAAATAGGCTGAGGTAGGTTTCAGTGCCAGAAACTGTTTGTCTTTTCATGTGTCGTGGATGGCTAAATGAGTACAATCCTGACATTGTTAGAAAGGGCACAGCTACACCCAGTTACTGTAGGTGTAGTAGCAGATTAACCACCCTAACTACTTTCATGTGTGTAATCTTTCTCATCTTGATCAGGTGGCCATGTTGCTTTTCTCCTGCGGCACGTAGGCAGAGCTTGACTCTGGTTTTAGTCCTGAAGCTGCTTTTACAGGGGTGGGTGCAGACAATAAAAAAGTATATCAAGGAGTTGAAGTATTGCATACAAGGTTACATTGAGAAGGAAACACTGCATTTAGGTGAATACCCCCAAACAACATATTTGAATGAAAGGAAGTTATTTAAGTGATCCTTCAAGAAATGTCTGAGAGCAGTGCTTTTCATATTTACCAAATTCTATGAACTCAAATTAACATAAGATGTCATGTAGTCAGTCTGACAGAACCAGCACACAGTTTCTGGCAGTAGTCACATGAATACTTCAGAGGGAGAAGAGATGCTGGAAGCAAATAAATTCTTTCCTGACTGTTATATTCTTGCGTTTATGATCAAAACCATAAGTTGCGCAATTACAAAACTCACTGGTGAAAAAGCTGTTAACGCCTTCCCTTACTGTCACCCACTAGGTATGAATGAGAACTTGCTTTCATTTAAAAGCAGAAAGGAGAGCTGATCCCTCCCGGTACTTGTGAATTACAGTAATTCTAGTTAGGCAGTTCTGACTTTGCAAAGTGTGTATAATTTCGGTTTTACTACTTCTGTTTTCTGTTTTGGCAGAAAAGAAGAAGAGTTTAAGAAATTCACTGGTACCTTCTTAGCAGTTCCCAGCTTTTCGTTTTCTTCTACAGCCTTGTGATACTCTGGCCTAAGTTTCATTATCTCTGAAAGAGAAGAACAGTTACTTCAACAGCTTTGTTTTCTATAGATAGCTTTCCTGAGTTTATGGTTTCTTGTAATGGGGCTGTCCTCTACTCTCCCTCACTTAGTACTTTCACTCACTTCATGACCTTAATCCAAAATACATCCAGGAACTCTAAGATACAGTCTAGCCAGTAGTGCCAACGTCTAGTGAAGAAATACGTTGTAGTATAACATGAATATATTAACTGTGTAGCTCTGTATTTTAAGTATGTCAATAAAGCTATAGTTATATCATGCTTGTAGTTTAGAAGAATAAACAAGAAGCCTTCAATTTAGAAAATAACACCGAGACAAATAAAGTAGCAGTTGCCATTGGGGCTGCATCCATAAGCTGCTTCTGTCACGTGGAACAGCTACTTTATTATGGTCTTCTGCTTTATATAGGTCCTTGTACTTTTTTTATCCTTGTGATACCTGAGCATTAAATGATGTTAATGTCAGTAAGCTATTAAATACTGTTACTAACACCTGTTTCACTTGACTTATTTTCTTCCATATGTCATGCACAAAAATGTGTTTTCCTTTCCCCCCCCCAATAGACATCATCTATTTGGAAATAATATGATACAGTTTGTATTAGCTGATTTCTAGGAGATACTCCTTACACATATTTAGGTGTAAGACACTCCTTATCTTGAAACTGTGGAAGAAATTTCCACAAGAGCTGTAGTCATACCGTGGCTCTCGTGTCTCATGCCCCTGTCAATAAAATGGACAGTAAGGAACTACAGAGAGAAGTGGAAGCACATCAAGAGAGAAGGTATCAGTGTATAAACATACCTTTTTGCTCAGCAGGGCCCGAGAGACTGCCGTGCTGGCCAGCCAGACGGCTGGGGTGCAGCAGCTCCCGGGGTAGCAGAAGCTCCTGACGCCCTCTGACACAGCCTGGTGGCACAGTGTATTTGCAGTGTGGAGTGGGTATTTCTGGGAAGGGAACGTGCCTTAAGGTGCAGTAATGTGGATTATAAGAAGTTTTCATTGAGTCTCCCATAACCAAATCAAACACGGCATTCAAAGATAGTAAAGATAAAAGCTTTATGTGTATAAATAAAAAAATCTGGCTTTCTTTTGTGCTTTTGGGAAGGTAATCATTGTGATTAACATTTAAGAACATTGTACTGTACATTTAGTCTGTTAAATGAGAGAGCACTGGGAGGAGAGGGGCTGGAGCAGTCTGAAAGGTGAAAATTCTGTCTGTTTTGCTTCTCAAATAGCAGATCTCTTTAATGCAGTCCATGTGTTCAGCCTTGCTTGCCTTAAGGTGGTAGAGTTTTCACACTGGGGGAGGTAATCATTTGCAAATAACTATTATTTTGCAACTCAGTACTAGGCTGTATGTGTAGAGTTAGCTTGGAAGGAATTCTTGCCTTTACACAGGGAATAGAAACCTCTGTGTAATTTTGGGTGTTACTATTTGGTCTGATTTCAGTGCTCTCATTCACTCAATGACACAAACACCCTCTTTGTATATACAGTGCATGAATGGAAATGTGAACAGGACCAAAAGCAGATGTTTGTGTTTGGAGGGGAATGTTACAACAATATTTATAGGCTATTCATTTATTATTTAGGTTATTTGAAGTTGTTACATAAGATAGAAGTTGAAGTGGAAAACAACACAGTCCAATTTTATCTAGAGGACTTGCCTCAGCCCTGCTGCAAATCTGCACAATGAAATAGATGTTCACAGGAGATTAATTATTTCTTCCTCACCTATTAATTTTTAGCTTATTTGGAGTCTTGATTCTGCCCCTTCAAAGTGCCTTATTCAAGTGTTAAAACTAACTGTGGGTACTCTCCATAATGTGTGTAATGGAACTATTCAGCATGCAAAATGCTCCTCAGGATTGTGGAACTGGGTTCTTTGGTGTTGTAAAGAGAAAAGAGAATTCTGCTTATAAATGTTAGCAATGGATGAGCGTGGCTAGCCAGTAAATGGACTTGATGTCTTTGCTTGTTCTGTACTAGCTGTCCTGTGTGGAAAGACATGGGGCCAGTGGCACTTTGGTTTGTTCTTTGTTGTTTATAATGCTCCTTCAGCTTGTTTAGTGAATGTATGTGCCAGAGTGAACCTCTTCAGCTGATGATAATGTGGGAAATAGAAGAGTAAAATTTTAACGGATACTTATGGGTACAACATGGATAGAAACTTAGTTAGAAACATTTAATACTAGTCTTTCTCAACTAACAACATAAAAACCTTTTTTCTATCTCCCGCACACCCCTGCCCCAGCACCCCCCTGTCTTTTCCTGGAAGGATATGTGTTTAAAGTGTTGCTTTGGTCAGAAGATGGACTAAAATTTGCTATTAGTTTATACATCATGTTGGAAATCAGATATGCTTATTTTACTTACAGAAATAAGTTTTCTTGTAGATTGGTTCAGGAGGGCATGCAGAACTTTGAGAAAACAATGAAGCCAGACTGTGTTCTCTTTCATGAGTTAATGTTTAATATTCAAGTGAAAAATTGTTTCATTACTTGTGTGATGTCAGAGATGTGACTCCATGTAGAATTCACAGCCTGGTAGTATTTAGAAAGGCCACCTGACCACATGGATTTGTAAATGGAGTATGTTAAGCAGGAATCGCCAAGGCAAAAAAGCTGTGGAGCCTCCTCATGTCACATATCTGTTTGCTTTTCCAGTAGAAACAGTAGTTTTAAGATACAGCTAGGTTGGAGAGGGGAAGAATTAGCCATCTTTCCCAAGAAGTAGCTTTTAAATTCTGAGAAGCACGCCTACTTTACTTAAAGATGTGAAGAGAGGATTTATTATAATTCTATATATTTAATATAGCTGCCCAGTATAAAATTACTTTTAAGGGGTTATTTGGAAAGCTGGTTAGCAGTGCAGCATGCAAAGTTTTAAAATCCTGTTCCTATGTGCTCTGTTTTCCATGACACCATTCTTTAGGGACAGCACATTTGTTATAGGAGGTTGAATTGTTTCCTTTCGCAAAGCCTTACATGCTCTGAATCTCCCACTGGCTGCTGTCCAGAAAGAAAGATTTGTGGGTTCTGCCCAATGTCTGCAAATGTGTGATGATATTTATATCCATTGAGTTGTTTTCACTGTAGCTAGATCTGGTAAAACACTTGTGGCTTTACCACAAGTAAAAGACTTGTGGTAAAGACTGAAAACTTTGAAATCAAGTTATGTGCTTGAAGACATGTTCCGACTTCCATCGCATCCCTGGTTGCTGGGTGGGAAGGAGGAACATCCTAGTTATACATCAGCCCTCTCAGAGGGGGGGAAAGTCAGCAAACCTTTAAAGAAAGAAGTAAAACTTCAGTTTTTGAAAGCATAATACTTTTTAAGTGCCGGACAAAAAGCAAAATACTGGCTCAACTGGGACTTCAAAGGTGATTCACAATACTTTTATTGGTAGAGTCCTTAAAAACCCAGTTCATTCTGCACAGCTGTACAGTTGTGTCAACTCAAAAGTCTTTCACAGATGGGACTTCTAAAAGAAAAAGCTGTCTTTTTCTTATATTTTTCTAAACTGGTGACAACAGAGAGAAGGGCAAACATTTCACTTCCATGTGTACTTTCATGTCATCTTCTTTTCCTCTGCAAGAAGCTTTCACTAAGAAGGGGGGGAGGGGGAAAAAGGCCAGTGACAAAACCTCTTTGTTCTGAGAAGCATTTCCAAGCATGAAAACAATACCAATGTAATGCTTTTATAGAACAAATTTTGATTAAATTGACAATGATTCACTTGATCTTCATTTGAAATGTCTTCAAGCTATTTGCCACTTCTGCCAGATATGGTTTAATAGAATGGTTCTCTCAGATTTTTCCATATGGTGTGTGCTGGGGTTTTTTGTTTTGTTTTTTGTTTTTTTTTTTTAAGGAGGTAAAGTTTTGGCTCCATGTTTGATATATCATAAAGAAAGGATGGTCGTGGCCCCTTGAAACTTGTTTGCCACCTTTGAGCTTGAAAATCCACAGTCTGATGAGTAGATTAGGGTACTGTGCAGGTTTGGTTCTGTTCCTGGATTTGCTCTATGTTTTCTGCATAGTCTTAAGTAATGACAGTGGTCAGTCAGCCTGCAGGTTTCCTAATTTCTGAAACAAGACATATGTCTACCTTAATAACTCCTGATTTCCATTTTTATTTGAAGTTGATAAAGACTGATTTAGAGATCCTCAAAAAGATGTTTGTATGTGGAAATAATTTTTGTTGAATATTCTCTTCTAGCTTACACTTTTCAAATGGCTTTATGGTATTAGGTCTAGAAATAATTTGTATTGGATGAAGCATATGTAGCATAAAACTTTTTGGCTCAGTTCTGTACATGTGACTGTAACTGGCTGGAGATCCAAATACCAGTGAAAGGATGTGGTAAATTTTCCTTGAAGCTGGCAAAAGTTCCTGTATTTGGAACTTTTAAAACCAGACTAGGTTGATATACTGGAAAATATACTGCAGAGAAGACAGTGCTTTATTGGTAAGAAAATAGGCTGGTTATTCCTGTAGGCCTCTCTGTGTACAGCTGATGAAGTTGTAAATGATAGTTACTTGAATTCACCTTTGTTTTCCCAGTTTTGCTGGATCTGTCCTGTAGCACAACTGAAGCCCTCAGTGTCATGCCAATGAAAATGGCAATCAACATTTCCTTGTTTAGTTTCTCTTGTTAAGTGCAGAGTGAAACTTCAAGGGTGTAGCTAAGAAAATATTGATTTTTTTCTTTTTTTTTTTTCGGTCCTTCCTTCCAGATGAAAACTTGCAGGTATTTGCCCAGTAGGGCGGAGTAGAAAAGTTATCTTGATTGTGTAACTCCAGTCTTTGGCTCTGCAGCCCTGAGAACACTTGAGCAATAGATGACTGCCATTTGCCGTTGGCTAGATAATGTTGTTGTTTCTAGGCTGTGGACTGTAGACTGACTTACACATAAGCCAGTGGCGTGAGGATTTCCCACACTTGCAACATCTCTGGTTTTCCAGCAGTACGACACGTCTTGTGTACAGAAATGAAATTTCAGCTGAAACACCTTCTGCTTAGGTTGGCCATCCGCTGGGTAAAGCTGTGCTCATTACCCAGATCGGCAGTGTCTGTCAGCACCAGTGCGCAGCGTACAACACAATCATTTTGAAATACTACACCAAGGGGTTATGGCTGTTACTTTCTTTTAGCTGCAGATTTGTAACCTGTTCCTCTCCAGCTTGAGTTTCTGGGACGTCCTCCTGCAGCAGGAGCAGGCTGAGGTGGCATCTAGGAGCTAGAGGAACTGGGAGCCTGTCCTAGTCTGCAGAAAGGATTTCAGTGGACTTGGGTCAGAAGCATGAAAACGATCAGGCATATGGGTGCAGATGGACACAATGGTTGGGGGGATACCTGGACTACATGGATTTTTGTGCTTTAAGACCCTTGGTCTGAGAGTTTGCTGAGGGGCCTGCTCCAGAGGTCTGTGTTTACACACATGATGTTCTCAGTGAGGTGTTCAGAGCCTGTGGTTTTGTTTGAAGCTGGAGGGCTTTTTTTCTTCATTTGCAGTCCTTCAGCCTTAGAAATGGCAGATACAAGTCTTGAGGCTTTGATGATGTAGAAATTGATTTAATCCAATTAAATCTCCTAGGAAGTTTATCCTGTGGTTAAAGCTACTTTATTTTGCTTGATAGCATTAAATTAAGTGCTTTGGAAGGAAAGGAATTTAAGGTCTGATCTGCTGACCACTTTAGTTTTCTGTTGTGCTTGCCTAGGAAAACATTTCCAATACAATAGCTGAGATTTTAAAGTCTCCATCTAGTTTTGTGTTTTTGAGGTTTTTATGCAAGAATAACTACTGTTCAAAAAGGTGTTTCTATTTTTGTCAAACTCATGTAATACAGGATCACTTCATGTTACTAATATTTGTTTTGATGTGT